CATATTTGGCATTGAAGTTCTCTATCATGGCTCGAGAGGCCTGGTCCATCAGCTTCTGAGCAAGGCCAAGGCGCCGGTGGGAACGCTTCACAGCCTGAAGGAAGAAGAATGGGTAGAGTGGAGCCTTGGGAGGCTACCTTCAATTACCTCCAGTCCACCTCTGCCAAACCCTCAGAAGCTCTACTCACCAGTGAGGTGATATGTCCATGGGGTACATCATCTGGATCCTCTTCCCTAGAGGAGAAAGCTAGAAAGGAGCCTGGTACAGGTGCAGTCTATCTGGGACACCTGTGCATAGCAAGTGTGTAGACTTTGTAGTGGACCCTATAGCACCCCAGATCCAGGCAGAGGAGAACTAGGAACTTCTGAATCAGAATAACCAATCACACCCTCCTCAAAGCCCCATGCTACACCCACCAGAAATGTGCAGTGTCAACAGAACATTGCCCTATGATTGACCAAAAGAAAAAAAGTCAGCTGTTAAGCCACAAAAAGAGTAGTGCTGAATGATGCAAAGCACTAAGTGAAGGGATCCAGTTTGAAAGAGCTATCAGTTCCTATTCCAACTCTGCAACGTTCTGAAAACGTGACCTTGTTGTTGGAGGTTGTGAGAAGTATGGAATACCCTAAAGGTGGACAGACACTCTTCAACTGTCCCACTCCAGAGGGCGTGCAACACAGACAGAAGCTCAACAATGAAAACACGAATGTAAACAAAATCTGTGTTGGTTTCTCACTTCTAATAAGTGTACCATATATGGTAGTGAGAGAACAAATATGGAGGAGGGGTGTATGGAAATACTCAGTACCTTCTGCTCAATTTTTTCTGTCAACTTAGAGCTACCCTACAAACAACCTGTTAATTTAAAAAAAAAAAATCCACAGCAAACTGGGCATATTTAATTCCAGCATTCAGGAAGCTTAGCACGAAGACTGCTATAAATTTGAGGCCAATCTGGGCAAAAGAATGAGAACCCCTCTAAAACTAATCCATAGCAGCATTCACCAGACATGGGAGGTATTGGTTTCCCAATCCCTTCTCCAAAGCTTTTCCCCCAGCTCATCAACACCCAGTCTTAGCATTAAGCTCCTTTCTTCCTCCTTGGTGACTCACATTTTGGCCAAGACGTACCCCACAATCTTCCCATTCTCATCCTCAGCAATGTAAGAGAGCTGGTAACAGACAAGAAAAGGAAGTCAGGCAGAGCAGGCAACAGGTTAGAGCTCATCACCAGCCTCCTGCTTTGTGTAAGTTAGTAGGAAGCTGCAAAAATTGTTGAGTTGTGACAACTGGTGACCTGGAATGCAAGGGGCCCAGTTTCCCTACTCCACACTTGTGGCCCCTCTTGGAAGGGCACAGGCACAAGTGGGAATCCCATCTCCAACCTGTGTCTAGCTTACAGTTCCTACATACACCTTTTCAATTTGCCAGGCATCCCCATCAGCCAGGGCCTCACTGTATGTACCAAGGCACTGTACCTCACTGCCCACTGCTTTTAGCCCACTCAGATCCATGTTTCCCTCCTGTTGTCCCTTACTCCCCTACAAAACGCAAATGCTGCCTACCTGGGGCCACGACAGGCCGTGGTAGAAGTAGTACTTCATCTGGTAGTTCTCCGGCAGGCAGAGCAGGTTGCAGTGCTGCATGTTCATCAGGTCCT